TAGCATAACCTAAATATTTAGATATTTTTAAAGTGCAGCTTATAAAAATACATACCCATTTAAAAAAGTATAATCTTATACACAGGAATGGGTGGAGTAATTAATTATTTTTAAGCATCATCACCCACATAGACATGAACAGCTGAGATAATGAAGTTGCAACGGGATAAATTATGAAGAGTGCTGTTAAAAGGGGAACAATAGAGAAAATTACTTTATAACAGTCTACAATTATAAACTCTTTATGTCAAATTTTAGTAATTTAAATTTATTTATTTTTATATATTGTATGGAGTAACAGTTTTGTAAATTATTCTTCTGATATTGTTTATAATCGCTCCCAGTATATTTTGTTGGAAACTAAGAATTTAAGATCTTTTCAACTCTCTCTTATTTGATATATATACTTTCTAAAAAATAGCAATATACAGAATAATAAATTAAGATTAAAATTGTTATTCATATAATAAATTTAATGACATGACTTATATTAATGACAAAAAAAAACTTTCTTTATGTTAATGACAAAAAACATACTTTCTTTATGGTAGGAGTATTAAATATGGGAGGTTTATTTTGGTGATCTCAATTTACTCTATCTTTCCTCTCAAATTTTATATATTACCTCTTGTTATTAATATAAGAGTTAGTTTGATATGTAATTTGATCCTAAATATACGAACTCAATCCATTTTTTCTCTCATTTATTCATTTTTTTGTAAAATAGTCCTTGTAATAGTTGTAAATGTTAAATTTCTAATCAAATGGTAGTTCTAGTAAATACAAGTAATAAATAAAGATATTTTAGAAAAATAATACTTATTTATTATAAATAACCAACTTAACAAGCTTTTTTAATCTACTCAAATTAATTAGCTAACTCTTATATCATAGACAGAAGGTTGTACTAATAAAAAAGGGGTTTCATCAACAAAGGTGGGTAATTTCAACAACAACAACAACAAGAAGTTTTATCCCACTAGGTGGGGTCGGCTACGTGAATCGCACAATGCCAATGTGTTCTATCAACAACTAAATTCTTAGATATGGTGTTGACCAGGAGGTCCCATTTAATGACCTCATTGAGCATTCTAATTCTCGGCCTTTCTCTGCTCCTTTTTATAGGACTTCAAATAGTCTAATCTATCCTTCTCACCAGTGCCTCTAATGGCCTTCTCTACGCACGTTAGAACCACCTCAAGCGATGTTCAACTGTTTTTTCTTTGATCAAGGCCACACATACTCTTACTCTGATAATTTCATTTCGAACCTTATCTTTTCTTGTATGAGTACATATTCATCTCAACATCCTCATTTCTGCTACCCTCACTTTATGCTCTTGTTTTTCCTTTATCGCCCAACATTCACTACCATTTAACATAACTAGTCTCGTAGCAGTCTGATAAAATTTTTTCTTAAACTTGTCAGGTATCTTCTTATAGCAAATAACTCCCGTAGCCTTCTTCCATTTCAACCTACCAACTTGTATTCTATGCGAAACATCACTATCAATTTCACCATCCTTATGTATAATGGATCCTAGATATTTGAACTTTGACACTTGAGGAATGATTTGATCTACTATCTTCACCTTCAAATCACTATTGCCTTGCCTCCCCACAAAATTGCAATGCATATATTCTGCCTTGCTCCTATTTAAGCGAAAACATTTTGACTACAAGGTCGTTCTCTATAACTCCAATGTAGAGTTAATCTTTTCTTTTGATATAGCCATGAGGACTATGTCATTCGTAAAAAGCATGCACTTAAGGATTTTTTCTTAAACAAGCTCAGTTAGAATGTCTAGCACAATATTAAACAAGTAAAGACTCAAAGAAGATCCTTGATTTAGGCTAATCTTAATAGAAAAGTTCTTTGTCTTACCTTTAGGCATTTTTACACTAGTAATTACCCCCTTATACATATCTTGTATGGTTTTGATATAAGCAACCCGTACATATTTTTTTCCAAAGCCTTCCAAAGTACTTCTCTTAGCATACGATCATAAGCTTTTTTCAAGTTAATAAAAACCATATATAAATCCATTTCTTTACTCCTATATCTTTCCATTAACTCCCCTTAATAAGTAAATTTCTTTTATTATGGATCTCCCCAGCATAAATCCAAATTCGTTCTCTGAAATGGAAGTCTCCAACTTCAACCTATGTTTAATCACTTTTTTTCACAACTTCATCATATGACTTATAAGTTTTATCTCCTGTAACTGGCACAATTTTGAATATCTCCTTTATTTTTGTAAATAGGAACTAAAGTGTTTTTCCTCCATTTATCCGGCATATTCTTAAAGTTAAAATTTCATTAAAAATTTTGGTTAACCACCTTTCACCTCCTCGCCTAAATATTTTCAAACTTCAATAGGAATACGATCAGGTACAACGGCTTTACTATTATTTATTTTCTTAAGAGCTGTCTTAACCTCTCCAATGTAGATCTTGCGGTAAAAGCCAAATTCCAATCATCTTTGCTAATTATCAAGTCATCTAAGTTCTGAGTGGCATATTCACGTCCCTTATTGAACAACTTGTAAAAAGAAGCCTCACATCTATCCAAAATATCTCTATCAATAACTAGAACTTTACTTTTTTCATCCTTTATATACCTTACTTGGTCCGAAATTTTCTTTTTCCTCTCTCTTTGCTTCACAATCTTGTAAATATTTCTTTCCCCCGTCTTTATTCCTAACTCCTTATAAAACTCCTCATATGCTTTAGCACGTGCCTTGCTCACTGCTCTCTTCATCTCTTTTTTAGCTAAATAATACTTTTCCTAGTTTTCTTCACTATTGTACAAATGTATAGCCTTAAAACAATCTATTTTCTGTCTAACTTTCTCTTGTAGGCTTTTATCCCACCACCAAGTCTCCTTATCTCTCTGACCATGACCTTTAGATTCTCCCAAAATTGCTTTAGCAACCATACAAACTCTCTCAGCCATCTCCTCCCACATAATGTTAGCGTTTCCCCATAACTCCCAAATACCTCCTCCAAAAAGGTCCTTTTGAAAAACTCCCGCTTCTCACCCTCTAACCGCTACCACCTGATCCAAGGGTTTACCAATTGATGATACTTTTGTCTGATACTCTTAAAAAGCACATCAAAGATAAGTACCCTACGTTGGGCAGTCAATCCCTCCACAGGGATCACTTTGCAATTAGTACAAAGCCTTCTGTCTGGATTCTTAGCCAAAAAGAAATCAATCTGTGATTTAGAGACTCCACTCTTGTATGTGATTAAATGCTCCTCTCGCTTCTTAAAACAAGTATTGACAATCTTGAGATTGTATATAAGAGCAAAGTCAAGAATAGTTTATCCTCTATTGTTAAGCTCCCCAAAACCAAGACCATTATAAGCCCCAGCAAATTGTCCTACTTCCTTGCCCACATGTCCATTAAGATCCCCACCAATAAAAATCTTTCCTGCAAGTGGTATGCTTTGAACCAATCCCTTCAAATCTTTCCAAAACTTACCTTTAAGATGTGCTTCTACTCCAACCTAAGGTGCATAGGCGTTAATGATATTGATATTGTCCTTTCCAATAATTAAGCTTAAAGATATAATTCTGTCCTCAAACCTTTTAACCTCTACCACATGCTTCTTCCATGTTCTATCAATGATGATACCCACATCATTCCTTGCATAGAAATTCCGTGGAAACTTCTCCATCCCATTTAGTTTTTTGGAGGCACAAGATGTTAATCCTTTTATCCCTTATAACTCCTACTACCTCCATAAATTTTGCATTCAAAGTTTCAAGATTCCAAGTGCCAAATCTGATCTGGTTCTCATGAACTAACTTCTTTAGCTGCCTACATTCAATAGAGTGCGGCAGCACTTGCTCATTTAACACTACATCCGGACAACGACGCAGTAGCTTTAGCTCACTTCTCACTGTAGTTGAGCCATTCAACACATTACTTCCTAGCAACGACCTAGCAGTTGCACAATTACTTCATTGATCAGGTAGGTAATTTCAATGCAAATATTTTTTTAGCAGAATTTCAATGCAAATAGTGTTTGGGTGTTTCGAGGAAATTGATATGCATTATTTATAAATGATTGAATTAATTAATTTTTTATTAATTATCTAACTTTTACATGCTTTTACATTAGAGTTAAGAGGGAATAAGTAATGTTTGTGTATGGTTTTACTTGGTTTTTAATAAATTGTCTTCTTACAAAAAAATGAAAAAGAGGGAGCATGACTTTCTTATAAATTTCACGTGATAATATTAAACTAGCAACGTGTAAATTTAATCCTTATTAAATATTAGTTATATTATAATTATAATTCCCCAGGCACTAATTTTAATTGATAACATTACTTAGGACTGACTTCTTTTATTAATCGCACTTGATGAGAAGACAAAAAATAGTTCCTTTGCACAGTGGTCTAATGTTTACTAGTATTCTACAATATTTATCTCTTTTTTTATATTTGATTAAAAATAAAGTTGTCTATTCGTAAAATTATATTTATTTGATTTGTAATTTTATTCTTTTTAACCAAATGGTTCTGATATTGGTTGCCGTAATATGATTAAGGAATCAAACCATTGGTCGAGTTTCATGGTACCATTGTCTTGCTACTAAACCCCAGTAAGTCTATAATATGTAAATTGCAAATTACAATTGGACCATATAATAAAAACTGCGCCAGCAGCTATATGTTCTATATTCTTTCAAAAAAAAAATTGAGAATAGATATACTCTTATTTGAGGCATGTCCGAAATAGTCAGGTTGAAGTACATCTTCCAGCGACAATTCAAATGTTTGATTAGTCATATTGTGGGGAACTATCACCTTCTGGCAGACTCAACCTGCTGGTGTTAGTAGCTATATATTTTGTTTGTGCTGTATATATGCATAATTTTTTCATGCACGGCATAGATTATGAGACGTATATTATACTAACTCATAAAAAAGTAGAGTTCTGAAAGATTTTATTGTATAACAACAACCCAAGGTATTTGACATACTTCTTATAATGAACCCATATGCACAAATAGTGATAACTGATGATATCTAGTGTAGTACACGGACCTAGACATATCCTTTATTTGAAGTTTTGAACTGATATATACAATAGGATACCTCAGTTTTCCCCAGCTCACGTTGAAATTTCAGAATGCCAAGGGACTTTATGAAGCAGATTTAGCTCGATTCACCGGGGCTTGAAGTGAAGAGAGATATCTAGCATCGAGCTTGTCAGTTCCGTCATACAGGTAACTAAAAGGTGGCATTTTGATGTATCTACCAGTACCAGGAGCAACCTTCAGTTCATTATTTTGCCAAACAATTCTTCCTCCAGCTATGGTGACTTCAACTTTACCCTGAGGAAAAAGAAACCAAACTTCGAATCTCCATAATGCATAACACAGGTTCAATTATAATCAATCCAAAAATGAGCAATGGCTTGGAGCCTAAGGACACCAACAATTACTAAACTAGCTTGTTAATCTCTGACCCGTTCAAATCCTTTTTTTTTAAATGTTTCTTGTTTTGAACCAAGCTTGACAAAGAATGAAAATGGCCAACTGAAAAAATGATTATTGGAATACCTATGAATAATGACAAGATAAATATCAGCATTGTAAGACTACAATTCTGGGGTTGATGACTTGGGCTCGGTGTTGCCCTGGGCTTTTACTCTTAACTATCTTCATGCCATGGCAAAACTCTAACGAACTTTATAAATCATATAATCCATATTATCACCATAAATAGTAAATTACTTTAACATGCATGGATGGAGTATACTAAAACGAAGTACCTTTCCTCTCTTTCCCTCAAAGACATTCGCGTCTAATCTGGAGTGGTGGGATTTTGCAGTAATCTCAAAGCTTGCATTTGGATTGAGTATGATAATATCTGCATCAGATCCTGCAAGGATGGCCCCTTTCCTCGGATACACATTGAAGATTCTAGCACTAAAACCATTGTACAAGTAATAAAAAATGCAATTTAGGAGCTCATCAAATTAAAATATGAAAGTAAGATGAGTGTTTTGAGTTCCCTATCTTACTGGATGCCAAGCTTAAGCTGAAGCGTAAAATGGAAAGAAAATGAAGGACTTAAAAAGAATACCATTCAGTGCTTGTCAACCGAACATAGTCAGTAACAGATATTTGGCCAGATTCCTGTAAGATATATATAAAACAAAAATTCTGGTCAAAAGGTTTTTGTTCCTCTTTAACTGAATTAGCCGTGCAACGGAGCAGTCAAGCTGGCAATAATTATGCTTAGGGCTTACCACCATTGTATCCCATACCAAATGCATCCTTTCTTCAATACCTACAGTTTTTCATTTGCAGTAAATATTGGGTAAAAACATTTCACATCAACCAGGAGATATACTCAGAACGATGAGACAATTAAAAAAGTTTCCAGGATCATCATGCGATTACCATTGACACCATTAGGAATTTTCCGGAAATCATCAATTCCAAATGCCTTTTGGGTAGAATTAAAGGCACAATGATCAGTTCCTACAAGCTGCGAATTGTAAGAGGCATCCAACGGTCAAATCAAGGACACATGGAAGGAGAAAATAATTCTGACAAGGCATAGCTAATAAAAAAATGTAACTAGAATTGTAACGGTGTAACTGATGAATGAGGTTACCATCTAATGAGAACTTCACGGAACCCTTACTTTTAAATGATCAGTGTAACTCAATATATATGAAGCTACAAGTATTATTGTTGAAAAGAGAGGGAGAAGAAAATATGGGATGAATAAATGCAAGGTGATATCTTGTGCAGGAAAATATGCAAATGCAAGGCGGAAAGATAATTATAGAAAAGTGAGCTTCAACAGTGACAAACAACCATTTGCCAAAGAAGATGAAGTGATCCGGGACCTATGAGGAATCTTTATATGCGAATAAGATGAAGTGATTGCAATATGTAAATTATTTCCGACAGACGTTTCCTGTTGAGCTATACTTTCAAATGTCACGTCACGTCAATTTTCTTTGCCCAACACCTCTATAGGGACAAACATGGATGAACTGCATTTCGGTGGCAGATAGCATTACATTGTTCATACTAATTCCTGTTAAATTTTTCAACAATTGATTGCCTAGGAAGAAACTGAATATATAATTCTTCATTTTGAAGATTAACTTCTTATACTTACAATCAGAAAACACAAGCATGCATTTATAATGAACATATTTTATCCAATTTCAAACTTGATCGTAAAATTTGTTAGGTAATCTTCAACTGATGCATATTTTAGTTCAGATAAAGCCCATCTGTCCAAGGACTCTGACAGGAAACAGCCAGTTAATTTTCTTCAATGTGCTTGGAAAGCAAACGGCAATAAACTAAGAGGGTACAGCACATTTCCTTTTTCCTTTTGCAGCAGGACACAGAGAATGAATGGGGAATTACCCCTTTGACTGCCGCCAAAGATAAATTTTTCAAAATTAAACGAGTTTTGCTTCTCTTAAGTTCGTAATGTTTCACCTGCAGAATGCCTGTTGAAAGGGCACCTTGAAGGGCCTTGTCATGTCCTCGTTTCCTGATAGGGGGACTCATGACATACCTGAAACATGAGCAAGAGTAATCCTCATGCTTTTTAAACTGGAGGAAACAACAGAATGACAGCTAGAAACAAGAAGAAAAGGAAATAAGGTACTTGCCTTGCTGCAGTCTTGAAGTCAGGATGCCAAAGCCAAGATTCATCAAGGACTAGCCCAGAGACAACAGGCTCTCCAATAACCCTTTGTCCTGCAATTTCAAAACAAGGGGTCAACCTTCCTGCAACTATTTTATCAAGAAGAAACTGATGAAACAAATTCAAATAAGGGGGTATTCAAAGTCAATTAATTTAGCTGTCAAATCTAATTCTAAGCATAAGCAATTACAGAGCTAAAAAGGTATTCCCAGAAAGTAACTTTCCACTAATAAGAATGCTTTAATTCAGCTGTAATTAGTGAATTAGGCAAACAAAACTCCCCAAAAAGCGTTGACCAAGGTATCATAATAAGCATGATCATCATAAATGGTGGTCAAATACTTCAGTAGAGTGACACAGTTGAAACTTTTGTTAAGAAAACTCCTTAGCTGACAGTTTCAAGACTATTGTTTCGTTCTATACATTTTTTTTTTTTGGCCAGACATTTTATACATATGAAAATCAAGTCATCGAACAACCTGTCACAACTTTCAAGTTCATAGTTACATGTTAGATGTAATTTGAGGAGAAGATGATTATGACTATTAAATCAATTTATGGCGTTAAAATTTGAGTGAATGGCCATGTAACTGAAGAATTTACTGGTGATTAGAATTCTAGAGTTTAGCTATTATAGGCACACAGCATCTTATCCTTATTAGGATCAGTATTTTATTTCCTATCAAATCACTGAATTGGAGAGATTTGAACTGCCTATACAAGGCACACTGTCCCCCCCCCCCAGGGGTGAAAATACAAGACACACTCTTTATCTCAAGGAACTGAACTTACCATCGAATTTAACAAAATAGAATTGATTGTTCTCTTTTAACATGACAGGATTATTGCTGTAAGGTAATGAACTTCGTCAATATAAGGATAACCATGGTCGATGACATTTCAGCAGTAAGGTCATAATTGTGCATTACTTGCTGAACATATCGACAACAATTAACATGAGAGTGCCAAGGGTTGAAGCTAAGAACCTTCTTTCCGAGCTTTTGCAATTTCTTCCAAGGCATCAATGCTCATTACATGAACTACATACAAAGGATTGTTAACGAAACTTGCTAAGCGAATTGCACGTGCGGTTGCCTCTCCTTCCAACTACAAATACCAGGGTCAAGTAAGGGTATAAAGCATTAGTCCAAAAACTCACACAGAGAGATAATTATACTCCATAGGAAATACAAATATATGGTAAACAAACTATGATATACTAGTGACTGGAAATGTGCAATCATATAAATAAATTAGGAGGAAAAATAATGTCGCACAACCAGTTAGAAAGTCTTAATTTAGCCACCATCTGAACTTTTGGAAATTCCTGTCATTTTTGCGTCAGTCATCTATAGTGTTGCAGATCGTTTAGAACTTCACACCTAGGCTTCTGCCCAAATGCTCCAAGAAGAGATAGAACAGTCTCATCTTAGTTGAGTTCACCAATTATCGTATCTACCTGAAGTTTACCACTCAATCTCCTAAGATCTTATCTCTTCCAGAGACAGTCTATGCTTTGTTTCTAATGTATAGTAATTAGTACTCCAATTTAGTGAATACTAAAAAGCTAGATACTTTATACAGTCATAGAATATGCTATGTCTGATTTATAAAGGAATCCTCCTTCAGTGTCCCATTTTGTCACTCACAAGTAATGTTCTATCCTCTTGATATTTAGATAAGTGGACCCTCTCCATCAGAGAATCACCATCAGCAAATTTTTGAAGTATTATGATAAGAGGAATGGATAGCTCATTGCATGTCCATGTCAAGCCATGCATGGCTCTTTCTTTTGGAATCAGTCACAGAGCTGGGACAGGGTTTGAACATGGAAAATTGCATGATGTCCTGGTTGAGAACGCCCTTCTCAAAATATTGATTGGAAACTTCAGTTTGGGACCATTCTTGGTTGAAATATGTTCTGTCTTCTTCATCACCGGTTCCTCCAAAGCATGATGGGTATGCACAAGTGTAGGTTAGATTTATGTATCAGACAGAATGTCCGGTAATTGTCAATGCATGGAGAACAGTGATTTCTTAGCTGCTTCACCTCTAACAATGGGCATCAATAATTAATCAAAGGAGATATAATTTGCAAAATTACCACTGCAGGCCTTGAAAGGGCATGTCCCTCAGGACCAGTTATTCCAAGTTCTATCATTCTTTTTTGTCCTTCATAAACAGCATCTCCATTTTCTGCATGAACCATGGCTAAGGCTCCAAGGGACTTGCACTTTTTGAATCCCTCCAAAAGAAGCTCATCATTGATCATAAGAGCTCCTTTATATGCCATGAAGAACTTAAAAGAGTTGATACCTGCAAATATAAAACATGATTATATCATACATGACAAACGCATATGTTCTCATAATATTATCATCCACAGGGCTACTTAAACATAGTCAACCAAATAAGTTATCAAAATGCAGCAAAGAAATGGAATTGTGACCTTTCTCCTTGACCATGAGGTTCCATTTCTTTTGAAACAGTTTCATCCCATTTGGTAATAGCCATGTGAAAGCCATAGTCCATGCAAGACTTCTTTGCCTTCTTTTCATAGGCTTCAAAACCAGCTGTTAAACTCCCATCCACTGGTATGACAAAGTCAATATGCATTGTTGTCCCACCTGCTAATGCTGCAGCCTGACCATTGAAGAAGTCATCAACAGTTTCAGTACCCATAAACTCAAAAGATAGGTGAGTGTGCGGATCAATTCCTCCTGTCAGTTAGCCCAAAAGAAAATTAATTGCAGTCTATCACGGATAAGTAGAACTACGATAGTTCTTTTGAAGAAGATGGAAAGACGTTCAATATACGGACATTAGACAGGCACATGTTCACCTCTGAAGTTTCAGTTTAGATATTGATTAGAAATATATTCTACAGGAATTACGTCAAAATTGTAATCTAACCTGGCATAACAAACTTCCCAGTGGCGTCTAGAACAGTAACATCATCCCCTACCTGCCAATGGCAATCAAATGAGGAAATAGGTCAAACATTAGAAATCACAAAACATTAGAAACATTTTGTACACATAAATAGGCTGAAAATTGATAAAGCTACAAACTGATGCCAATGGGAGCATCAATTTACTAGAGTATAATTCCATTCAGCTGACATAGTCTGATAGAATACGCACGGAAATCTTAGCAAGTGATCAACGCAGGTAACACTTTACATTTACAAGTTAAATTCACAAGATACCCCAACACATATGTCGTGCAACTGTCAGGGCTTTGATATGACAATCACTTTAGGATTATTCTACGTCCAAACCATTCCCTTGACAGCCCAGATAAAATAGTCCTTCTCAATTGGATGAACAAGATCCAATCGGAAAAGGTAAGATCAAAGTAAGTTTGAACTTTACATAGCGACAAGAGAAATTTCAATGTTTTCTTTTGTCCAAAAAATATTTTCACTGTTTTCTGGTCAAATATAGCACCTTGAATAGGGATAAGATCTTTTCTGGACTTTAACTATGCCTTTTTATATTAGAGTAGTAAGTTTACAACTGTTTTCTCTTTATTTCTCGAAATGGATGCGCTTTTATCTGTACGGTGCCAAATGTGTATTTTTGGTACAGCATGTGGACCCTCAAATTGCCGGATTTTAGAGTTTTCTCAGGAAACAATCAGTTCTTTCCAGGGAAAAGAGATAACGTCACAAAAGGGGGATATGCTAAATAAAGCATAAATATACCATAATGTTAGGCTTCACGGCAACAATGATACCATCCTCCACATATACATCAGCAATCTCTTGGTGTTGAGCATTTACAACCGTTCCACCCTTAATCAACAGCTTCGATGAAGCCGAAGATGGAATTCCACACATGGACTCGCCATATCCAATCCCAGCATCACAAAACTGAATGATTGAAAATCAAAAGAAAAAACAACATAAAGGGAATTTAAGCTTGAGAAGGATATAAATCGCAGAAAAACTTAGAAAGAGAGGGGGGGAGGGGTGGCCATCTGAGTTCAGGAATGATCATCACTTATAAATACCAAATTTACTTTCTTTCATTGACCATGAAAGTTCCAGGGGAAAAAAATCTTAAATGTCAAATCTGAGACCTGCAGTTTCTATTCCTTAAAGTCAACTCAAAAGGGAGAGGGAAAATCAATGGAACGACTTTAGGATGAAACAAGGAAAACAGAAGCACCTGGTTTGGTTCTGAAATTGAAGCAGAAGATACAAGGAAGAAGATGATCAATAAGAAACGTAGCAAGTCAGGCGTTGAGCAGCAGGGCATGAGCCTCATTTTGAGCTTCCCTAAAGCTTGGGGATCACCAGTTTCTGCTTGTGGGGATTCACATGAATTTAGATGACGAAATTCTGTATACTTAGTACATCAGCGAACAGATAATTGACGACGATATTTGGCTGGAAAGACGGTTCTTATATCCCACAAGGATCTGACTTATCCGGCCACGATTGTTACTCAGTACTCATTGAATTTTGGGCAAGAAACAATATATTTAATGAGTAGCCAGTCTTTACATCCCATTTAGGTTTGAATTTTGTCATTGAAGTAAGAATCTGTTTAATGAGTAGCCAATCATACCTCTACATTCAATTGAGGTTTGACTTTTGCTATCAAAGCAAGCATTTCTTTAACAAGTACCAATCATACCTCTACTCCCTCCATTTCTTATTATAAAATTTAATTTTTAATAATTTGTTTCTTTTTATAAAATCTTTTTTGAGTTTGTCTCAGTATTTAATACATATTACCTATTTTATTCCTAATTTAATATATTTAATATATTCTCTTTCTTTATTTATCTCACTATTACTCTCACATTTATCCATTTACATATAGGGGTATATTTAAAAAAAACTGTATTTGCTACATATTAATTACTTTTAACTAATTTTAATTGTTTTCTTAAACTGTGTAATTTAGTTAAAATGATCTTATAATAAGAGACGGAGTAATACATTCCATTTAGGTTTGAATTTTGCTATCAAAGTAAGAATCTCTTTAATAAGTGGCCAAGGGTTTAGGGTTGATTAGTTTTAATTTATTCAGAAAGTAAAATGAGATTATATTAGAATGGCAAGAGTTCCACGGTAATTAATTAAAAAAACGATTAAAGGCATATAATGTTAAAAAAATTCTATCAAATTAGCTTAAGATATTTTGATATAAAAACAACATCAACATATATTCTATCAAATTTAGCATGGTATGATGTGGGACAACCGGACAAGAAGAACAAAAGAAATTTATTGGGGAAAAAAACAAAGTGAAAAAAAAAAAAGAAACAAAAAAACAGACTTGAGTCCTCTGATGAAACTCAAAAGAAGTGCAAACACAGGCAAAAAAAAAATGGAATATTAATATTAAAAAATCTGCTACATAATGTTAAAGAAAGTCCTGTTAAATTGATTTAAATTATTTTGATAATTTATTTTTATTCAATAAGTTGCAAATCAAAAAATGTTAGCTACAAATCATGGAAGATGACAACAAAATTGACTATACGTGGTCTTCAAAAAATATATCAAAATATATCCTCCGTCATTTATTTTTATATTATATTTGTAACGTTTATTAATAATATTAAATAATGTATAGTTTATTTATGGGAGAATCCCACAAAAAGATGGTTAAAATTATTAAATTCTAAATAAATTTTTTTTACAAAATTTTAAAGTGTAAGAACTAAATTTAATTTAGAATTTACTAATTTCAAACTTGGTGAGATTCTCTCTTTATTTATCTCATATATTTAATTTAAAAAAATCCATTTTTTATTTCTTTTACCTTGAAAAATATTATTTTCTAATTTCTCTAAATCATCTAACTTTAAGATTAATAATATGAAAATATAAATTTATCTAATAATTTGATTTTAAATTATTTGATTATTTCAATATTAATATTATTTTTTCATTGTGTTATTTACATTGGCTTTCGATATTTTTATATAAAAAAGTATTTTAATAATTTAAATATTTACTTACTTTCTTTTCATCTTATTTTTTCTTGTTCATCCAAGCATAAGCGTTGATAATAATTTTTTTCCAATTTTTTTCCTCATTATCTCATTTTCTTTCTTTCTAATTTTTCTTCTCATTCAAAGCAGAGCACCCTTGACTTTATAAATTACATCAAAATTTTTCTTCTTTAATTTAAAAAGGCTTTTGGACTTCGGTATCAATGTGTATAGGTCCTTATTGGGCTTCCATTGATCCACAAACGACAAGTTATGTCAAACGGATGTAATGTTAAAAAATAGAACTCCTGTCGCGAGAGGTGTCTACATTTAGTATCTGACAGTGTTTCGAATAGAATTGTCTCCAGTAAAAAGATACCTATGTTTTAACCCCAAAAAAAAAAAAGACTCCTGCCGGGTTTGGATCTTATTTGAGAGACTGATTTTTCACAATGTGGTAAATCAAAGCTTATCAGAAGATATGTTCATATTTAGTACTCCACAACGTCTCAAACAAGATTAACTCCTTCTACAGTATTCAATTGTCAAATTTATGGCTATTTAAATCATTAGACCCTAAGTTTTTTTCAAAAAAAAAATTAGCCTCTATAATTCTATTTTTCTAAAAATGTAGAGATCAACAATGATTAAAGCTAGGGCCAAGTTCCGCCAAATCAAAGCTTAAAAACTTAGTTGCAATTTAGGTAAAAAGAAAATTAAAATACAATAGAATTAAAACTATGAAAACTAAGATGTGCTGAATCAAAATTAAGAATTAAGTTGCCACCAAATTAAATCTACCCTGAATGGGCAGTTAATTTTTCCTTAACTAGGGGGAAAAAAAAGGGATGGGGTGTTATAAAAATGCTAGAAATACCTGAAGAATTGTCGTTGTCCAAAAATAGAATACGGCAGAGGAAAGCACAGCAGGGGCGACCTGAGAACACATGATTTTGTGCGTCTGAAACGAACTCCATCATCAGGTGGTCTCAGAACGCCCCTGTAGAACTCCTCCACCTTTCTTCTTCTGCAGAATTGCGAATATTTGAATCTGTGATGAAATCCCAAGGGGCTGGCTGCCTCTATTTATATTACGCACACGTCAGAAACTTGTGTGGTACTCGTTCTTCTTCTGCTTCTGCATGTACTGCACCCCAAAGTACGAACTCATAATTCAGACTTGTCAAACAAAGCCTTTCAAGTTTTGGCGGAGTACGACCTTGTACTACTGCACCTGTACCATTTTTCTTGTACTACTCATTCATTTCACTCCAGTCGTCTCTCTTTGCTCCATTTTTTGTGATTTTGATTGCTCCAGATATGTTCTCCCAAATCTATACACAACTTTATAGGAGAATTACAGTAAGGTTTTAAATATGAGATTTAATTACCCTAAAATTATCGACAAATAAAGAATAAATAAAGACTGAGTTTCAAAATGATAAACAGATTTAGATTCTTTATTTGTTATTGAAAACTTTTAGTAATTAAATTTTTTTTAAGGACTTCTTGGTATTTCTCCCTAACCTCATCTATATATTGGTACTAGAGAGACATAAATATTTTTATGTATTTTTTTTAAGTACAAATATCTTTTATTAAAAGTATTCTATTCAAAACATTGTTATATAGGCATCTCTCCCAAAATGAGGGGATATGAATAATTCTTATTCTATTTTTTTGTTTGATACCAAAGAAAAATGTCACAGGACTGGGCTAAAGCCGCAAGATTTTATTTGGACCAGAATTCAAAACTTAGGCCCAACCCAACCTATTTTCATTTACTTGAACCTTTTGTGCTGAGAAAAGGGAAACTCTTGTTTACGCCTTTCGGCCAGCTTTTCATTTTACCTTTTTTTGTCCGTTTGCTTCTTGGATCCATCTTTTTTACCATTTTCAGTGCATAAAACTTGCATAGATAATAAAATAGCAAAGAAAACATGAGCCTTCTTATTATTATTACTATTACTACTTTTTTTTTACCAGGTATTATTTTACTACTACCACCATTATTATTATTTGGTTTATACGTCTTTGGATCTTTAAAATTTTTCAAATAGAGCATCGTTTACTTAAATATCCAAAATGAAATTGTCATGAAAAATACTTGATCCAAAAATTTCAACCCAGATTAAATGCGTCTGAAACGAGCTCCATCATCAGGTGGTCTCAGAACGCCCCTGTAGAACTCCTCCACCTTTCTTCTTCTGCAGAATTGCGAATATTTGAATCTGTGATGAAATCCAAATCCCAAGGGGCTGGCTGCCTCTATTTATATTATGCGCACGTCAGAAGCTTGTGTGGTACTCGTCGTCTTCTTCTGCTTCTGCATGTACTGCACCCAAAGTACGAACTCATAATTCAGACTTGTCAAACAAAGCCTTTCAAGTTTTGGCGGAGTACGACCTTGTACTACTGCACCTGTACCATTTTTCTTGTACTACTCATTCATTTCACTCCAGTCGTCTCTCTTTGCTCCATTTTTTGTGATTTTGATTGCTCCAGATATGTTCTCCAAATCTATACACAACTTTATAGGAGAATTACAGTAAGGTTTTAAATATGAGATTTAATTACCCTAAAATTTATCGACAAATAGAGAATAAATAACGACTGAGTTTTAAAATGATAAACAGATTTAGATTCTTTATTTGTTATTGAAACTTTTTAGTAATTAAATTTTTTGTTCTAGGACTTCTTGGTATTTCTTCCTAAACTCATCTATATATTCGTACTAGAGAGACATGAATATTCTTTATTTTTTTCAAAGTACAGATATTTTTTTTATTGAAAGTAATTCTATTCAAATATTACTGTGCAGGTATCTCTCCCAACAACTTTGGTTCGCCAAGATACGAGGGGATATGAATATTTCTTTTTTTTTTTGTTTGATACCAAAGAAAATGTCGCAAGGCTGGGCTAAAGCCACAAGATTTTATTTTGACCAGAATTCAAAACTTAGGCCCAAGCCCAACCTGTTTTCATTTACTTGAACCTTTTGTGCTGAGAAAAGGGAAACCTCTTGTTTACGCCTTTTCGGCCAGCTTTTCATTTTACCTTTTTTTGTCTGTTTGCTTCTAACCTTGGATCCCTCTTTTTTACCATTTTCAGTGCATAAAACTTGCATAGATAATAAAATAGCAAAGAAAACATGAGCCTTCTTATTAATATTACTACTTTTTTTTACCAGGTATTATTATTACTACACTACTACCATTATTATTATTTGGTTTATACGTCTTTGGATCTTTAAAATTTTTCAAAATAGAGCATCGTTTACTTAAATATCCAAAATGAAATTGTCATGAAAAATACTTGA